ACACATCACCGCTACCGATTTTCCTTTTCTCTTCCATACGATCGTGATCGAACGTTTTGTCTGACCGAACGTGTCGTTTCTTAAAGAAGCAAATTGGGCACTAGCCCAATTCGCGGACCTAACGCAGCTACTGAAAGCGCCACTCGAGTCAATACCGCCACAGGGTCGGGGCCGAGTTGAGTGTGCAGTTCAGCCACTTGCATGTGCCAACTGGGTGAGAGCCAGAAGGTGCAAATGTGAGGAGGCCTGACGTGTGAGCAGGGTCAGTGCGGTGAAGGGCGCGTCTTACGGCTTAGACCGGTAATCTGAGTGGCGGAGGAGTTCGTGTTGCGATCCAAATTGTCCCGAGTTCGAACCCAACGCAGCTACTGAAAAAAAAAATCCTCAGCTGGCCAAAAAAAAAAAAATTCCTCAGCTGGCCAGGAGGGATTCCCCTGTGCAATGTTCAGTAAGGAGAAGGCTTCCCCTCCGTGTGGCGACTCCGCCTACCCGGGCTACCCAACCTTCGATGAGGAGGTGCCCGCAACGCCCACCAGATCTGCCGCACTCGCCAGCATCTTCGCCGCCTCACGTGACCTGCCCAGCCGCAGCCACATCATGCAAGAGATCTCCATGGACACTCACGAGAGTGGCGCTTCCGACACCCCCGCTCCCAGCCGCGGTCGCGTGATGGAGGAGATCTCCATTGCCACCGCTCCCAGCCGCGGGAAGGTCATGAAGGAGATCCAGGCCGCTCCGCGTGAGGCCCCGGCCTCTCGTGGCGCGGTGCTGAAGGAGGTTCAGGTCGCTTCGCGTGAGGATGTGTGTGAGGTGCCCTCTCGCGGCACGGTGATGCGGGAGGTAAAGGCTGCTGGCGGGGACGGGGGGCGCACACAGGGGGGAGTGGCGTACGGCTGGGCGTGGTGGTGGGTGGGGCATGGCCATGGCGGCCGGAACAAGTGCCATAAAGAGGAGATCCAGGCGGCCGCGTGCTGCCTTGGAGGTAAGTATGCTAAGGAAGAACCACGACGGACCGTGTTTGTCTGTGCATGTCTTGTTGCAATGGGTGCAGTGTTGTTGGTGAGCCTCCTGGCTCTGGTATTGGTGGCGGTGTGTGCGCACTTTGCTCCGGTGGCCCACAAGACATCCCACCACCTCGCCGGCCATTTCACCGTGTTAGTGTGTTGTGTGGAGGGATAAGGGAAACAAACAATGCAATGCACCAAAAGGACGATGTGTGTGGTGGTTTGCGTGTGCAGTGTCCACCATGCGGCCCCCTCTGCCCCGGCTCTCCCGCCCCCTCCCCAGCACCCCGCCCCACCTGTGCACAAGCAGACCAACCACCAGGGCGACAAGAAGATGGAAGCCATCCCGCCCATCCCGCCGATGCATCCGGCAGTGGGGCAGCCGGTGCCGGTGCCGGTGCCGCCCCGGCAGGACCTCCCCCCGTCAGCCCCGGCATGCACAGACACAGCCTCGGGCAAGTGCGACCGCATCAACTTCTCTGAGCAGGCCCACCACCACCACTCTGCCGCGATGCCCCCGCCGTCAGCTCCACAGCAGGAGCCGGAGGCTGAGCCAGAGCCCGAGCAGGCAGAGCAGCAGAGTGCCCCGGGTGGGGCGGACATCGCATATAGGTGCGCACAGATGGCCACCGCCCATGACACGGGTGGATGCGTTTGATTCCTGTGTCTGTGGGTGTGGGTTCAGTGTGGAGATGGAGGCGATGGGTCGGCTTGCCCGTGCCGGCCATGTGTATGAGATATCCTATGCGTCTGACGTGACCCGCAAGACCCACCGCATATTCATCGACGAGAAGGACACGAAAGAGCTCACCTCAGTGGTCGTCGACACACAAGACGTACGTACGCAGAGCAACAGAGACGAAGGGCGGGTATATGTGTCAGTCTCTGTCTCTGTATGTGTGTGTCAAGGTCCCGCTTTCTCAGTATGACAAGGCGATGCTGGCCCAGCAGGGCCAGAAGCTCGATGCCGCACTGGCTGAGACCGAGAAGCGCATCAAGGCCGACCCCAGATACCTCGAGAACAACGAAACTGACAAACGCAATTACGCCTCGGTACACACGCCAGCCCTCACACAGACCTGTGTCTCATGCGATGTCTTGCGTTGGTGGTGCAGGCTGTGTTAAATTTCGATGCCATCGCCAAGGCCGTCGGCAGCGGCGGGTTCAACAAAATGCGTGTCGACGAGACGGCCGTCGTCCGTGCGAGCCAGCAGGGCCACAAGGACATTGTGGTGATGGTGTGGCCACAGGAAGCACTCAAGCTAAGGTAAGTGGGCACACACAGAGAAAGAGACACAGAGAGAGAGGCAGACACAGACAAGGCATCTCTGCTTGTGTGTTGCTGCAGTAGTCTGGTCCGAGCCGCCCGTGCCGGCCAGGTGTATGAGCTCTCGTATGTGTCTGACGTCACGCACAAGACCCACCGCATATTCATGACCGACAAGGATATGAACAACATGAGAGGAGTAGTGGCCAACGACCGACAGGTGCGCACCTGTGTGAATCCGTGCCTCCATCGTTTTCTGTCTGCCAACCTGCCTGTCTGTCTGCCCCCTTCCTCTCCATTTGTAATGGTTCAGGGTTCGCTTCGTCAGTCGGACACGGCGATGCTGGCGCAGCAGGCCCAGAAGCTCGATGCAGCACTGGACGAGACCGAGCGGGCCATCCAAAAGAACAAGAACTATCTGACAAACGACGAAAACAAGAAAGGACAATACGCCACGGTGAGGACAGGAAAATGGGGACTGGCAGCCCACCCACGCGCAGATGCGCCTGTCTATGTGTTTGGATGGATAGATGGATGGATGGTCGTAGGCGGCTTTGAAGTTCCATTCGGTTGCCACCGCTCTCGGCAATGAGGGTTTCAAGCTCAACAGAGTGACCGGCAGCACCCTCATGGCGGCTGTGCGAGACGATGGCCGACAGAACGATATTGTGGTCATCATATGGCCGCAGGCCGCCATCGCATGAGACAAACGGAGATAGATAGATAGAAAGACAGACATACGGACGGCACAATTCCGTCACCCACGCACTTAATTTTCGGTGGTAGTGATCAGCACGTGTGCATGTGTGCGCAGGCGTAAGACATGAGACGTGTTGGTGTGTTGAGGTGTCTTGAGCGCATAGCATACAGGGTGCCCGCCCGACGGACGAACGAGTCATGCCACTGCTGCGTGCATCTTCCCACACAGGCACGCACAGACACAGACGTATCGTATCTACAAGATAGCTGAGGTCTGTACAGCCACACGCGCACCAGCTCTCTCTCCAATAGCCATTCATCGCTTCACTCATGTCTGCCTCTCTTGCCGCTCTCTGCCCAGGGCACTCTCCTGCTCTCTGCAAGCCGCCTCATGGCCTGCGACACACCACCACGGCCACCACCACCAGCAGCAGCTCTCGATGGCTCCTCCTCGAAGAGGCCCTCCTCATCTGAGTCATCGTCACGATCCCCCCAATGCATTGGGTCGTTGGCAGGGCTGCACGACAGGTAGCAACACATGCAGCGCACTCACCGCCAATTCTCGTGTGTTTCCGGCTCATGCTTACTCACCGTTCTTTGCCAGTGATGGTTGCGGCACGGTCCACCTGTGTCTGAAAGGCCTTCTGAAGGCTCTGCAGGAACGAACACACAGTCGGGTCAATCAACATAGGACAGACCGTGGTGGTAGTATGCCGCCTACCTTCATCTCTTGCGCCATCCGCCGCGCGTCGTGCTGCATGTCGGCCGGCACGGGCGGCGCTGATGGCGGCGCCGGGCTGTCGAGATGGCACGTCGCGTCAAGCAGCTGAAGCCACGATGTCAGACGCCTGAATGAGAGCAGAGAGGACGTGTGTGCGTGATTTGTGTGGTGTGTGGCATTGCCGGCTGTGTTTCCTTCCTCTCGTACCGACCTGCTCCATTTTCGCCTCCATATGCCGCAATCCTCCTTCATGCCCTCAATCAGCACGTGTGCGCCCTCCTCCGGGTCATCACCATGCCCACTATCAGCCAGATCCACGTAGTCATGCTGGATGGCAGGCAACAGACATATGGCGCCGTCTGTGGGTCCATTTATCTCACTGACTGACCAGTCGTTTGATGGCGTCCCTGATATCTCCTCTGCCCTGCGCCCACTCTCGCCCCACCCGCTGCACCACATCACGCACACTCTCCTCACGCCGCCGCCTCGCCGCCTCATGAGCTGCACGGGCGTCGGGCACAGCAATCGTCGTGGCGTTCCTCAGATACCTACACACACACACACACACACACACACGGACGGTAGACAGACGAGAGAGGTGGGGAGGGACACAGTGTGGTATCTGCCTCTCTCTCCGACTCACTTGACGGCATTGCTGAGTGCGGCGTGTGTGTGTCCGTATCGCTCGTTCCACTCGACGAGCATGGCTGTGGATCTCTCCTGCAGCGACGTCCATTTGGGGTCCTCACGCGCCCGCTTATTATGCGACGGCATACCCTGATGAATCGGATCCGTGAGAGAACGCGGCGATACCAAAACACACACACATACGCATAGACACACACACACACACACACACATGGGACAAGGGACAAACGATCACACACAGACCGTGTTAGATCTCACCCTCCGGTGCACACAGAGGTCCAGCCACGTCTTGATGTCTTCACACACGACCGTGCGGAAGGCCGCTGACTTGACGAACAGCTTCTCAGTCAGATCAAGCGCGGCGAGGCGAGAGGCCACGGATGCCGAGGACAGATGCGTCACCAGGATCTGCCTGCACAGCACAGCCACAGCACAGCACAGCAGCGTGACAAAATGGACCATCTTTCCACGCCACTTTCCACGCCTTTCTCTCTGATGTTTCCCACCAGGCGTCTTTCACGTTGCTATCTTGGCGGAATAGCTCCTTCAGCGTCCCCCATCTCTCCTTCCTCACCTCCTCGTCTGCAACCCCTGGGATCTCCCCAGACTCATCCCGCCGCCGTTTTTTGGGCTTCTGGGCAGCGTGTTTCTGCCTGTTGAACAACAGGCCCTCGACGGTGACGGCCAGCGTGCTGTGAGCCTCTGCCGACATGGAGTGCGTTTCCTCCGAGCGCGAGCTTCAGACCGATCGTCTTCTCAACTATCTCACCTCTCTGAATCCTTCGCGTGATGCCGACTATGAAGGTGTGGACTCGAGTCGCGCTGTGAAGTGTGCCTGACTGATTTGCTGGCTGCGCTTCTTATCGTGCCCGCGCGGTCCCTGTCTATCTGCCTAGGCAGCCGCATCACAACACCTTTTTGATTATTGCAGCCGCAGGACCCTTCAGCCCTCCCACTCGCCTCAGTCGACCCTCGCTGACACAAGGCACCCGTCTCACGGACGCGCGCATCTCATCCATCTCACCTACGTCTGAGAGGCTGGTCGGTGCGGGTGATGCTGGCGGGTCGCCGGGTGCGTTGTTGAGCCGCCATCGTCTGGAGGAGCGCTGTGGCGGCCACCCCATTCGCACCCATGGTGATGGGTTTTGAGTCATTCGACAATGAGGACGCCGGCTCTCTCTCGCGGCGGAATCGGCACGCCCACAACCTCCACCACCACTTCCCCTGCTCGGCTGCTGATTTGTCCAGCGAGGCCGACAGCAGCCTGCTGATCCCGTCCCCATCGTCATGCGGCAGCCGGCAGCGGACCCTCCCCGCCATCCCCGGCGCGCCCCGGCTGCCCGGCTCGATGCGCTTCCCCCCTGTGGGTCGGGCAGGCACCCACTGCAACCGGCTGCCGTCCCTGTCAGGCAAGACGCATGACGAGATCGACGAGCAGAAAGTCGCACTCGTGCTGCCCGTCCTGTCGGCTGTCAGCACCCACATTCCCGATGGGTCGCCCGACCCCCTCTCGCCCACGGCCTTCACGCCTTCGATGGGCAACCTGATGTTTCCGCAACTCGATGGCGCCAGGGAGGGGTTCGGCGATGGCGATATGGGGGAGGCTGACATGGATGGGCCGCCTGTCAAGAAAATGGTCGCGCCCACACCGGCAGCCAAGTTCAGGAGCGCCCCGGCGGCCGAGACCATCCCCGCTGAGCCTGCTGCTCGTGGGGTTGCTGGTATTGGCGGTGTTGCCGTGGGGACGCACCTGCCTGCGGTGCACATGTCGTCACGCGGCCACCTTCCAGAGAAGAAAACCACTGGTGTGGCCGCGCTGCTGCAGATGAGCGGCCGGGGAGGGGCGGGGGGCGGACACACCCACACCCACAACCACAACCATACCCACAGCCATACCAACCACCACTACAGCCACCACCACTCCACACCGTCCCCCCTGCCGCATGTCAACAGTGAGCGGGGGATGGGGCTGCAGCGGGTGAGCAACGCCGTCCGCGGCCTCTTTGGTGCCAACAACGCCGATAGAGAGAGGGAGAGGGAGAGGGAGCGGCCCGCCAAGGCCCCGGTGAAGCTCGCTGCCGTGATGCCGCCGCCCAGCAAGCCCACCCACCACCACAAGCGGCACGCCAGCCTGCCTGACATCGGCAGCATGGGCGTCAACAGCAACTCGGGCATGGGCATGGGCATGGCCAGGGGCGGCATGGGTGTGGGTGCGGGTGTGCGTGGGGGTGGGGCTGGGAGGTCAGTGGACGAGGACAACGTGTTTTTGTCGGTGGACGACAGCGCCAAGGGCGACAAGAAGGTGGAGCGACTGCCCAGCGTCAAGAGGGGCGGGGGCGGTGGTGGTGGTGGTGTGGGTGTGGGTGACGGCCTGGGGTGCGATGCGCTAGTGGATGCTATCTGCAACCTCATGTCGGCCGTCACCACATGCGAGAGGGAACCTGGACAGGTACAGACAACACTTGGGTGGTTTACTGGGGGATCTCCGGTGACATTTCTCTCTCTCCTCGTGTCTGTGTGTGTGGTGCAGGTGACCAAGTTCGATGCAGTGAGTGTGCCGGGGATCCCTGTGCGCGACTACTTCATTCGGTGAGCAAACCGCCGCACGCATACGCACCCATGCGCCATGGTGGAGCCCTTCTCTCTGTGTGTGTGTTCATGTGGGTCATCAGTTTGTCTGAGTACTGCTATTGTTCGCCCACGTGTCACCTGCTGAGCCTGATCTACATCGACCGGCTGGTCAAGCGCGTGAGGGACTTCCGAGTCGACGCACTCAACATTCACAGGTATACACACACACACAGAGAGACGTGTACAAGACAGCTAGTAAGGAAGGGCATGCGTGCGGGTGTGTGTGTGTGGATGTGGGCAGGCTGCTGGTGACGACCACCATGATCGCCGCCAAGTTCTACGACGACAAATTCCATGCCAACAGCTTCTATGCACACGTATGAGTGAACTGCACTGCACGCCTCGCCCTCCTTCGCCCCTCCCTTCCCCTCCCCGCCACACACACACACACACCTGTGTCTCTCTCCCTCCGTGTGTCAGGTTGGCGGGGTGTCCACGCGTGAGATGAACCGTCTGGAGGTGCGGCTGCTGTCTCTGCTCGACTACCGGCTGGTCGTCTCGCCCGAGGAATTCGCTCAGTACACCCAATACGTCATGTCGCTCGCATCAAGTAACTGACCAACAGACACACACACACACACACACAGGGAGAGCCCAGCCGCAGATTGACAGACAGAAATCGACACCGTGTGCGGCGCGTGTGTGTGTGTTGGTCAGTGGTGCGTCCGACGTCCTGTCCTTTGCCGTCGAGCACCATCCCGCCCCCCGACGCAGACACAGAGCCGCCCAGGAAGAACATATCCTTGAAGAGAAGCAAGAAACGGCTCACTGCCGCCTAGAAAGGCCTGATCATAGACAGGACAGCCTGCCTGACATCACACCACACCACACCACACCATGGCTGCCTGCCTGCCTGCCTGCCGACCGGCTCCCTCTCTCTCCCCTTTTTTTTATTTGTCCTTTGTGTGCATAGAATGAGTGCGTCTGTCTGTCTGTCAGTCAGTCTGTGTGCCCTTTTTGTGTCCATCTGATTGTCGGATGCCACGCTCGACAGACGGGATGGACGGAATGGACGCGCAGAGGGAGAGGTTTTGTATTAGCCGGCTTGGGTGGCGGCTTGGCTTGGCCTGGCTGGTGCGGTGTGGCTGGTGCGGTGGTTTGTTTCACGGACAGTGAAAGACAAGACGACGTTTATCTTTATTTCCTTTCCTTTTCTTATACGGCTGTTATGGCTGTACGCACCGTCTATGTGTCTATGTGTCTATGTGTGTATGTATGTGTATGTAAGCAGACAGAGACGATTGGTCGTCTTTCTTTCCTTTCTGTGCATGCCATGCGTGTGTGTGGTGGGTATGTGGTGGGCGGGGCGGTTGTGTGGGTGTGGTGTGGTGTTTGGGTGGGTGTGTGGGGGTGCCTGACAGAGAGGCGGCCAATCGCCTGACACACAAAGGCAGACAGACAGACAGACAGAAGGAAGGCAGATAGAGAGAGATAATGACAGATAGAGGGAGAGGAGCTTATTTAGAAGCTCACGGGGCTAAATGATGACTGACTCGCTTGGGGGGGCCTGTGGGCGGGTTGGATTGCCCGATGGATGGATGGATGGACAATCGCATCAACCGCCGCTGATCGAGATAGCATAGCATGGCCGGCCGGGAATGGATGGATGGTGTGGTGTGGCCAGGGGCACTCACACGTGCCTTCCGGGAGGGAGGGATGGATGGACAAGTGAGAGGTGAATGGTGTGTATCTTATCTGTCTATCCGTGCATCTGTGCCTCACATGTGTACGCGCGCCAGTGCCCTCCCACCCCTCCCCTCCCCTCCCCTCCCCGCCCCCTTGCCGATCGTAGCAACCGTGACTACTTTGTTCTTCCTCTCTCCCTCCCTCTCTCTGTGGTGCGTTTGTATCTATACAACGGTCTGTCTGACGGCTTGCCTCACTGGACTCTCCTTGATTGATTGATTGATGGGATTGTATGACTGCGTTTTTGCCGACGTCTGACTGACTTGACGTGACCCTCCCTCCCTCCCTGTGTCCCTGCCTGCCTGCCTCTCGACTCACTGGGATCCCTCCTGTGTGCTGTCTGGCTGCGTGTGCACATGGAACGACAAGTAGGTGCCTGGAAGCCAGCCAGCGCTTTCACGGCATCCACACAATTCACTCACGCACGCCAGACAGCAGGTAGAGGGCCCGGTGCAGTCAGTCACTGTCTGGCAGATAGACGGGCAGACAGGCGGATGGTGGTCAGAGATAGGTGGGCGGACGAACGGATCGGATGGATACCGATCGATCGGATCGATCTGCATCATTGCATTTGTATACGTATACGTATGTGTATGTGTCCCCGATCCATGTCGTGCACGTGTGTGTGTATGTGTGTATGTCAGATCGAGGAGAGAGTGATTTGTACGGATCGGATGGGCGCATTAATTGCGCTACGCAGACGTGTGCGCGTGCCACTCACTATATATAACGATAGATATCAATCGACTGACTGGCGGCGGCGTGGGGTTTGGCTGACTGACTGACTGGTTGGTTGACTGATTTGATGGATGGATGGATGCATTTGGACCAGCTCTGGCACTCATTGCCTCACCCAGACTCTGTTGAGTGAAAGAAAGCAGTGGCTTATTTGCAACAAAGAAACGCACCCACAAAATCGAAGCAGCCTTTGATAGCATGAGGCTTCGTATGTACTTTTCGCATGTACTTCCCGGGTAGGCGGAGTCATCGGCACACGGCGGGGAAGCGCCCTCATGGCCGAGGCGAGTATTCTCGCCAAAGGAGCTCGCATTACTTTGGCGAACAGAGTTTTAGTTTGATGACAGGCATGTCTGATGCCTCCACAATTCCTCTCATCACCATCATCGGTAAGACCTCTCGGCCCATTCACTCAGTGAGCCAGTGCGCTACGCCTTCCCATCAGCGAGGCCAACTGAGGGAGGCGGGCAGACAGATGATGCATGAGAGATGGAAACGACAGGCAACACATTCCCTTCCCTCCCTGCGTGGCTGTGCGGTCTGTGTGCCGTCAGATCTGACGGTGACGGGCTGAGTGAGAGGTTCTGGACGGCTCTGACGGGCAGCACTGATCAGTCGGGCTGCTTCTTGATGGCTGACGCCAAAACTCACACACTGAACTGTGAGTCGGCAGACTGAGAGCACAGGCACACTGATGACTGCATCCCATCTCGCTGTGTGGCTGCTTCCTTGGTGCAGGAGGTTGACCGTGTTCGTCAGATGGACAGTAGCCACGACGCCCCGGCTCCCTCGAGACGTGGGCGCCAAGAAGAGACCGACAGCAACAAACAGCATCGCGAAGCGGTGCGCACAAGTCCACACCCACACCCACACAGACACACAAACTCATTGATGTGTGTCGCTGGTCAGGTGCCTGATGATGACGGCGGCGCCAAGAAGCGTAGACGCGTAGACATCGGCCCTGCAGCTGGTGGTGGTGGTGCTGGTGGACACAGTGGAGGTACGCAAAGCATCGGCTGCTGTTGGTGGACTGCACATCGTCATGACCCTCCTGTGCTGTGTGTTGTGGTGCCTTCAGGTGGCTCGGTTGGTGCGGGTGGTGCTGCGGCAGAGTCACAGCAGCAACAGGGAGGTGCCATCTCACTGTCGGCAGATCTGACGGCCCCCATGCAGCACCCCAACCAGCAGCAGCAGCAGCAGCACCCCGTGTGGTACGTCTGCGCCCACCGCGGCAGCGATTTTCCGCTGCGGGATGTGCTGCATCTGAGGAAGACCTGCAAATGGGCCAGCGGCCTCTTCGGAGCGCCTCAGCTGCGGCAGCTGCTCAGCCAATGGACAACTGACGATGAACTCAGCACACAGGCGGGGCTGCGACGGACGGCCAACGGACAGCAGCTGCTGACATTCGACGACCAGCAGATGGGCGAGGGTGACCTGCTGGCAGCGCTGTGTGTGGCGGAGGCGGGCGGCTGGAGTGAGATGAGCGAGGCGGTCGAGCTGGCGGGGCAGTGCGGCAACTGCCAGCTGCCTGTGAGGCTCACTGCGGCCGATCTGCACCAATACCCAAACAAGACGGTAAGCCAACCGAGTGAGGGAGGGAGGAAGGGAGGGAGAGAGGGAGGGAGGATGGCTTTCAATCGGTGTGTGGTGTGTTGATGTGTTGTGTGTGCAGGCGTATTTGGCCGCTCCCCGTGTGTTGGCTCAGCTCAAGATGGTCGGCCCCCACATCCACTTCGGCGACAACACGACCTTTGAGCTCTTCCGCTACGGCAACACACTGCGGGCCATCAAGAACCAGGCCGCCTACGAGATGGACATCAACCCGCCCCTCCCTGCCAACCACCTCTACCAACAGCACCGACAGCAGCACGACCCGCCAGTCCGCAGCCGCATCGGATATGCCCCGTCTGCGGGCTGGGTGGTGGCCGTGACTCCTTACAACTACTCATCTGTGTCGTCGTTTGTCAAGAGCATCGTCATCGACCACTTCGCGGGCACTCACCAGATCAACACCACTGCCCGTACAATGGACAGGTCAGGCAGGGCATCACTCTGTTTGGCCATTGCCACGTCACATACGAGTGTGTGTACGTTGTGTGTGTGTGTGTGTCAGGCATGTCGACAACAACCAGCTGCACACCCTCATGACGCAGTCCCCCCACACACCAGTGGAGGGGTGCACCACGACCACATCATTCCGCCTCACTGACTTTTTCGCTTACCGTCGTCTCGTCCTGACGGGCACCGGCCGCTCGTTCGTCGCATGGATCACCGTCGAGCTCCACCAACATCGGTCAGCCCAGCTCGGCACAGCGAGGGGGAGGGAATGCGGTGTCACTCTTATCTCTGTCCTCTGCTGTCATTTGGTTGCAGTGAGTGTTAAGGTCTTCACCACCGAGTCGGCTGTGTCTGGTGTGGGCGGCGCCTTCAAGGACCGCTTCCCAGTGACTTATCGGCTGGCGCGTGCGGTGCTGGGGACCGTCATCTCAGCCAGGATCTTCGGCCAATAGCCAGCTGAGGTATGTGTGCATCAAACACGACTGAGACGAGCAGGTGATGCCGACACGACGTACCCAATGGTGTGCCTTCTATCATTCGGTGTGTGTCAGGCCGGGCGGCGGTGCTGATATTGGAGCGATCCGCCCGACATATTCTCTCTCGCCAGTGTGGGTTACCGGTAGATAGAGGCGGGCGGGCGGGGACTTCCTCTCGAGCCGTGTGGTCGTGTGGTGCCATGGTGTTGGGTGATGGATAGCTGGATGGCTCGATGGAATGCCTCTTCCTCTCCTCATGACACGTAAAGCTGTCAATCGTTTCCTTACACCTCTCTGCCCGTCCGTCTGTCTGTCTGTCTATCTCGCTCGGCCCTTTCTCTCTGTCGTGCTGCTGTCCCCTCCCCTCCGCTCCCCTCTCCCACTGCTCCCCCTCATGTGCAGTGGCCGACCAGACCGGTGAGGTGTGTGTGGGTCGGAGAGAGAGGACAGACAGACAGCACCAGAGGGGAGATGGGCATACACAGCAAGGCACACACACGGTGGCCTGATTGAAGTTAAAGGGCGGTAGGTGCTGATGCCCTCGGCGAGCCCAAAGGCAGGCAGACAGACAGACAGCCAGACAGCCAGATGGAATGATGAACGTGTTTAGTTGCATTGAGTGAGAGGAACGGTGTGCGTTTGATGGACGGCCGTATGGGGGATGTGTGTGTTCGTATGGCTGAATGCCTGGCTTTGCAATGCAACGAGTGAATAGTCTTACCTAATCTGATCGCATCCATCCGAAGCGCACCAAACATACGGTGTCTGTACCATTACACGGGTCTCCATCTGTCTGTCTGTCTGTCTCTCGACGCCGCTGGGTGGCGGGCGGACAGGGAGCAGCACAACGTCAATCCATTCGCAGGCACGATCTATGCACACACACACACATCACATACAAGGGGAACACCCACCACACCCACATCTGTCTGTCTGTCTGTCTGCCCCTCTCTCTGCCAGCTGCTTACTGACTGTACAAGACACATAAAGCGAACAGCCGGCATGCAGACAGACGGGGAGGCAGGCAGGCAGGCAGGCAGGCAGGCCAGAGTGCACGCCAGCCACTAGCTAAGCTAACTAACGAGCTACGAGCGGGCAGCGAGAGCATCAGAGCTCCTCAAAGATCGACCCAAACACGCCCGCGAAGGGGTCCACGTGCGGCTGTTGTCCCCTGTCCTCTGCAACCGCCGTCTTGTCGCTCCCTGCCACTGCCTGGTGCTCCTTGTTGTGCGCCTCCTCGGTGATGTACTCCTGCCCGTCGCTGGTCTTGCGCGTGGTCTTGGTCTTGACCGTGCCATTCGGCTCGGTCCACTTCTCTGTCACGATGGTCTCCTGCTTGCCGTTGACATTGCGGTGCGCCACGCTCTTGCTGTATCCCTTCTGGCTGGAAAACGACCCCCCGGAAGACGACGAGAATGACGAGAACGATGAGCTGCTCGAGCTGGAGAAAGACGTTGAGAAAGACGCCGACCCGCCCCCTCCCCCGCCACCGAATGCCGCGAAGGGGTCGGCATCGAACCCTTTGAACATGTCCTCAAATCCCTTGAAGAAGTCTTTGAACATCTCGTCGGCCTGGGCGAAGCTGAAGTGGTGCGCAGCGCCGAAGTCAAAGCCGCCAGCACCGCCAGCGAGGGAGGCGTCGTACTGTTTCCGCTTGTCGGGGTTGCTGAGGGTCTCGTATGCCTCGGCTATGCGGATAAACCGCTCCTCGGCCTCCTTCTTGTCACCTGCAGTGCAGCCACACAGCCGGCCACCGGTGACGTAATGGGCGGTAAGATATCTTCTCGCCAGGTGCGCAAGCGCTGACCTTGGTATTTGTCAGGGTGGTACTGCACGGCCATCTTGCGATACGCTTTCTTGATCTCGTCGTCTGTGGCCTTCTGCTCGACTCCCAACACGTCGTAGTAGGTCTCCTTCTCCTCGCCCGCCAGCGCCTGCGGACACACACATCACATCACACACAAAGAGATCGGGTCGTTCTCATTCATCGGCTGGCTGGAGGTGGGAGATGCGCTGACCAGGAAGGCACAGACGCCCAGCAAGATGCCGAGGAGCAGACGGAGATGCGATGCTGGAAACGCCATTGAGCCCACACACCACCTGTTGCTTTCGTACAGATCTCCCAAAGGACAGTCCTCGAGAGCTATCCAAACGCACCAGAAACCGCTGAGCACGTCACTTTCTGCGATCGGCCGACGATGGCAAGCTTGCAAGAGGCGGGCCTTTCGAACGTGTGTGTGAGTGTCTGGAGTGCTCTCCTTGCTGTCGGGGCCATGGATCTACGCTGCCGATGATTCGACGCTGCAGAGTGGTACTCAAGGAGAGAGCGCACATCTTCCGACTGCCCGGATCTCCTCAACAGCACATCGACGAAGCATTCAGAAGCGCCGGTGCCCGCAATATGACCGACGCAGCAACGGAGTCGAAGCTGAGAGGTGCAGATGAGAAGAAATGACTCATGACGACGGTGTCATTACTGTGTCTGTTCGTGCATAAGTGTGCGCAGGGTGCGTGGTGGGCTCGCTGGTTGCGGACGCTGCTGGGATGCCTTGCCACTGGGTGTATCCCAAGCTGCACAAGCCCACCTATGAGACCATGATCAGCGAGCATCCTGATGGGGCGTTGGAGTTCTCGACCACAACATACAACCCGTTTTATGGTCAGCGGCTTGGCGGATACGTGGCAGGAGTGACTGGTCAACCATTGTGATTGTGTGTATTTGTGTAGTTCTGCCTGTCGGCGACTTCTCAGGTGTGCAGTGGCCGCTCTGATGGCCGATGGGTGTATGTGTTTCCGTCTGTTTGTCTGTCTGTGTGTGTGTGTGTGTGCGCGCGCGCGCAGGTTATGGCGACCAGAGCTACGTGTTGCTCAAGAGCCTGGTGGAAGCGAAAGGATGGAACAAGGTACGTGTGCCAATCAATGTCGAACAACGTCTCACAGGCACTCAACGGTCTCTTTCTCCCTCTCTGCCTGTGTGTGTGTGTGTGTCAGGAAGTGTACAAGAGGCTGTTATACGAGCATTTTGGCCCCGGCAGCAAGTACGAGCCGTCAACTATGGCGACGGACAGCTACGAGCACGACGGCAAGACGGCCCAGAAGATCCCCGTGCACGTGAGTGTTCTATCGCGAGTGGTGGAGTATGTCGTCACACGATTCATTGTGAAGCGCAGAAAGGTAGACAGACAGACAGACAGACAGACAGACAGACAGAGAGGTCGATGTGTGAACATCTACATATCATGCACTGAGATGGCCACACCCACACAGACAGAGAGAGATCGCTCTTTCTTCGCCTGTGTCTTTTGCACCCCACCCAAATCCACCAGGGCGGCTGGCGGCACGCGTCCATCAAGGAGTTCCTGAAGCGCTACGGCGAGAGCGCATCAGTGACCGGTCTGGCCAAGGACGCCCAGATGGACGGCGTGGCCAAGGTGGCGCCCATGGTGGCTCTCTACGCCGGCAAGCCGGAGCTGCTGACGGCCGTGGAAGAGATGGTGCGCGTCACGCAACAAGACCCAATCGGTATGGATGGATGGATGGATGGATGGCTGGACACCAGGCCCTGCACAATGAAACACGTGTGTGTGTGTGTGCCTTTGTCAGCTGTGGAGTGCGCCAAGACGGCTGCCCACATCATGGAGCGCATCTTGCTGCAGGGCACGGGCGATGATGTGCCGTCTATCATGCCGGATCTGTTGCGCGAGGCCGACGAGGGGCTGCCAGACGGAGAGGCCACGACCAAACTGAAGAGGGGCCTGAAAGAGGTCAGACAGACAGACAGACCGACAGACTGGCGGGGATGAGCGTGTGTCTGGTGGGTGGATGCTGCTTCCTCATCTGCAGGTTGTGTCCTCCCTGGATGAGCCGTACGCCACCTTTGCCGTCAGAGAGACTGTTGGCCTCTCGTGTGAGCACGCAGCCATACACACACCCATCCGTCCATCCATTCATTCATTCATTCAGCAACCTGTCCGTGCGTGTGTGTAGGTACGGTGCCCAACAACCTGATCAACTCTCTCCACTGCTTTGCCACCGCCACCGCCACCGCAACGCTGTCATTCGAGCGCGTCACTCGTGCGACCATGAAGGCTACCGGCTGCACCTGCTCGCGGCTCCTTTTCCTGGGCGCGTGTGTGGGTGCTGCAAAGGGCGAGGTGGCTGTGCCTGACGGGTGGCTGGCCAAGACCACCAGAGGCGAGGAAATAAGGGAGCTTGCCAGGCAGCTGGTCGACATGAGAACTTGAATGTGACGGATAGCGAGCCGCGAGGGCGGTGCGTTGTATGTGTGTATCGTTTGTCTGTCGGCGTGTATCTATCGTGTGTGTTTCCTGTTTTTCCAGTTTGTGTGTGGATTGGCGGATTGGACATTATGAGCGTACGTGCGGACTCCACACACGGGCATTCAGCAGCAGTGTCCATCAGACGCATGGGTGTGCAAATACACACGCCATACTAAGCTGCGCATACGCCACCTATCGATCACGCCGTCAGTCTTTCCTTCGAACGAGCCAGACAGACGGACACTCTGGTGTGAGCGGACATTAGGAAGAGGCAGACCATCCATTCATCCATCCATTCATCCGGCTAGCACCACAAAACGGAGAGGAGGCTCACCATCTCCTCCCTCCGTCCACCACCCACACATTACAAGAGCGACAGATGCTAACACCACCGCGCAGTCTGACACACACATGGAAAAACAAACAGCACCGAGCAGGTCATGAGCGCATGCATCATCGGATGGTGTCGTGGTGTTTGGTGCATACCTCGGCTGTCTATTGGCCGAAGACCATGGCTGAGATGATGTCCCCCAGCACCACACGCGCCAGCTGAGTGGTCTGCGGGAAGCGGTCCTTGAAGGCGCCACCCACACCAGACACAGCCGACTCGGTCGTCCTGACGAACACACGCACTGCAAATGGATGACAAGAGAGGACAGAGATGAGAGTGAGTGCTGTATGTGTGGTGTATAGGCTTGTAAGCCCTGCCCCTCGCTGTGTCATGCTGGGCGCACCATTATTGTGATAGACCAGATCCTTGACGGTGATCCACGCGACGAAGGGGTGGCTGGCGTCGGTGAACACGAAATGACGACAAGTGCCAGTGCCACTGAAGCGGTCTGATGCGGTTGTGGTGCATCCCGCCACTGGTGTGTGGGGTGACTGTGTCAGCAGAGTGTCCAGCCGGTTGTTGGCAACACGCCTGACACCCACAACCCCCCCCCCCCACACACACTCATAACACACTTTCCTGTGTCGTGGCAACGCCCGCATAGAGTGATGCCCTGCCTGACCTGTCGATGAGGATGTTCGGTCTGTTGATCTGGTGAATCGTCGCGAAGTGGTCGATGACGATCCTCTTGACACACGACGACACTGACGAGTAGACCCAATCAAAGCGCAACGGCCGCCAGCCCTCGGGCGACAACGGCCGATAGTCGATCCTGCTGCGGACGGGCGGGTCGTGCGGCTGTCGGTGTTGCTGATAGGGGTGGTTGGGAGGGAGGGGCGGGTCGATGTCGATCTCGAAGCCGTCCTGGTCCTTGATGGCCATCAGTGTGTTGTCGTGCTGGAACAGCTGGAAGGTCACGCCGTCGCCGAAGTCGATGTGGGGGCCGACCATCTTGAGCTGAGCCAACACACGGGGAGCGGCCAAATACGCCTGCACACACAACACATCAACACACCACACACCGATTGACAGCCATCCCTTCTCCCTCCCTCCCTCCCTCCCTCCCTCGGTTGGCTTACCGTCTTGTTTGGGTATTGGTGCAAATCAGCGGCCGTGAGCCTCACAGGCAGCTGGCAGTTGCCGCACTGCGCCGCCAGCTCGACCGCCTCGCAGATCTCACTCCAGCCGCCCGCCTCCGTGACACACAGTGCCGCCAGCAGGTCACCCTTGCCCATCTGCTGGTCGTCGAATGTCAGCAGCTGCTGTTCGTTGGCCGTCCGCCGCAGCCCCGCCTGTGTGCCGAGCTCATGGCTGAGCCGCTGCCGCAGCTGAGGCGCTCCGAAGAGGCCTCTTGCCCTACTGCAGGTCTCCCTCAGACGCAGCACATCCCGCAGCAGAAAATCGCTGCCGCGGTGGGCGCAGACGTACCACACGGGGTGCTGCTGCTGCTGCTGCTGGTTGGAGTGCTGCATGGGGGCCGTCAGATCTGCCGACAGTGAGATGGCACCTCCCTGTTGCTGCTGTGACTCTGCCGCAGCACCACCCGCACCAACCGAGCCACCTGAAGGCACCACACAGCACAGGAGGGTCATGACGATGTGCAGTCCACCAACAGCAGGGGATGCTTTGCGTACCTCCGCTATGTCCACCAGCAGCAGCAGCAGTATGGCTGATGTCTACGCGTCTACGCTTCTTGGCGCCGCCGTCATCATCAGGCACCTGACCAGCGACACACATCAATGAGTTTGTGTGTCTGTGTGGTTGTGGACTCGTCCGCACCGCTTCGCTATGCTGTTTGTTGCTGTCGGTCTCTTCTTGGCGCCCGCCTCTCGAGGGAGCCGGGGCGTCGTGGCTACTGTCCATCTGACGAACACGGTCAACCTCCTGCACCAAGGAAGCAGCCACACAGCGAGATGGGATGCAGTCATCAGTGTGCCTGTACTCTCAGTCTGCCCACTCACTGCTCAGTGTGTGAGTTTTGGCGTCAGCTTCTGGGCTGAATCTGACACCAGCCATCAAGAAGCAGCCCGACTGGTCACTGCTGCCCGCCGCACAGGTACAGAACCTCTCACTCAGCCCGTCAGATCTGACAGCCCACACACCGCACAGCCACGCAGGGAGGGAAGGGAATGCGTTGCCTGTCGTTTCCATCTGTCATGGATCATCTGTCTGTCTGCCTGTTTGTGTGGTTTCGACCTCGCTGGTTGAATCAGCACTGTGAAGCAGCGGCTCACGAAGCAGCGGGAGGTCTCGTGGTCTTACCGATGATGATGCGAGAGGTCGACCATCAAACCGAACCGTTTGTGCGACCTGCCAATCGATATCGCGAGCATTTGGGGAATTGGCCAGGAAAAATTTGCGTTTTGCACGACTGAGCCTACGTGCAGCATTCGCACGTGCTACCAGCATGGGATTGCCGCCTGGGAAGGAACTCCTCGGGCCTCGGCGTGGCATATGTATCGGGCCTGGCAGCAGGATGACGCCACCAGAGAGCTCTCGACTCATCGCTGGTGCCTTCGAGTTCCTCGAACCTATGTTGCTCAGCCGGTCGTGCGATGCTGCAGCAGCAGCAGCCGACGCTACATGACAACTGCTACATGGCCTGCACCTTGCGAAATACGGAGGAATCCACCCTTTGCTCACATGGTCCGTTTTGAGCGAAAGAATAGGGTACGCTGAAAGCCAGATCCAGGAGCCGTGCTGTCGCACTCCTGCTTGTTTACGCTTGTTGTGGAGTGCAAATACCCAGCAAGAAGCTCGTTGGCCGAGCAGCCGACGGGTTCGCTGGGTTCCCCCTGGCGACGTGTGTGGCGTGGGTGGCTGCGTGACTGAGAGGGCATCGTCATCTCGGCACTCAGAGTTGCTCATTTGCACCGACACCACCCGCAGCGGATCAGGTACGAGTGCACAAAGAGAGGGTGGATGCATGTGCCTGTCGGCGATGCAGACGGCGGCTGTGTTATGCTGTCACATCAGATTATGGACGGCTACGGCTACGGTGCCCATCCCCAGAACGACTACATCAATCAGGATACGCCGCCATACGCTCAGCCAGATGACATCAACGGTAGGCATTTCCCATTGTCAGCTGGGTGCTGCGTCGCTGTACATGCCCTCTCTGTCTGTCTGTGTGTGCAGAAGTCGCGGCCAACACGCTCGTTGCCGACTGGCAGAGGGCCACAGAGAAGCCGACCATCGTCTACATAACGCCAGACGGCACCTGGGTGGCCTACCAGCAGCGCTCTCACACCAAGCTGCCCCGCCACACGCCCGTCTGTCTGAGACTCAGAAGCCTTCCCCATTGGCCACAAGACACCACAATCTACATCACACCCACACGGAGAGACGACATGATGACAGACCAGCAGAAGGATGACAGCCGCCAGCGCGGTGGGCGGGGCCGCGAGTTCGACTACGACCAGATCGTGTTTGGGAAGATTGGCCGACTCAGTGACGACGAGAGCCATCCGATGGCGCGTGGCCGGTGGGGCGGCAAGCCTTTTTCCTTCCGCTATGCGCCCGACGAGGCCGTTGGGGCGGGGCGGCTGCGCAAGACGGTCAACCGCTGTGTGTGCGGGATGCTCAACATGAAGCAGGACCACCACCAGACAAACCACCACAATGCAGCGAAGAAGACCGAGGCCAAGAAACGACGCAGTGACATCAAAGTGAGGCAGGTCGGGCGTCACTGCGTTGTGTCATGTGTTGGCTCGTGCGTGATTTCTCGGCTTGTGTGTCAGGCGGCCAAGGCGGCCAAGGTTCTCAAACACACCAACCAGACAAGTGGGAGCACACCAATGCACGGTGCAAAGCAGCATCCTCATGTGTCTTGTTTGCACTGCTGTGGGTGCAGTGCCGCCCGAGACGCCATCCAATGGGGAATCATCGGCCGACAACTTCGTCGACAACGTATTCAACACGCCACTGTGATGATGATTTTGGTTTACGAGGAGGTGTCTAGCTACCGGAGAGGTGTGCACCTGTGCCTGTGTATGTGAGTGCGTGAGGGTGTGTATGTGCGTGTCCGTGTTGACTCACTGTTGAGCGGTTTTGGTCCTACCTTTATCTACTATCGAGCACTGATAGAATGAGGGAGGACCTCTCTCATTCTATTGAATGAATGTAACGTCCGGTCTGCGCGTCCACACAGCACATTGCCCACACCACGAAGGGGGCAACGCGCAAGAGTTCCCATACGAAACATACACAGGTCCCCAAGAAATGCCTTCGATGGCTTCACGCACATGCGCGGGGTCCGTACTGCAAGATGCACATGATGCATTATGCACATGCAAAGAATACAGCAAGCAGAGAAGGCGAGGAGTGCCAATTGAGTGCGTGTACCGATTAGACACGCTTATCTATCTACAGCAACAAACCAAAGGCAGGTGTGTCTCCCTCCCTCCCGGGTGGGGTGTGTGCATGACACACGCCTCCCACCCATCATCCCATACTGTCAGCCTCCTTTTCCACAGAAGACTTCCACAGCGTGTACAAGGCCTCGATCATCTTAGCAAACCCCTCCACGTTCACGTCAAATGTCTTCACCGACGGGTACGCCGCGCTCTTCATCCCCCTGGACCTCCTCGCCACCCTGCCCATGTCTTCCAAAGCGCTGATCCAGTAGTCCTTGCTGCCGATCATGTGCAGACCCATCAAGCTCTCACCCGGGATGCTGATCGTCACCGTCGGCGGCCCTTCCAGCACCGGACGCCCCCTCGGCTGGATGGCCTTGATCGCGGGGCTCAGTCCAGTGTTGCTCGGCTGCTTTGCCGGCCGCTTGAAGACAGGGCTGCCCTCTTCACCCAGCTCTCCGATTTCCATGCCGCTCTTCTTGCCGCCCTCGGCCACACGGGAGAGAAAGGTGCCTGGAATAGCGTGCACGCTGGCCTGGCTGGATACGGACGCGCGGCGAGCACCTGAGCCGCGTCGCTGTGGGGTGTGTGGGGGCTGTGGCGTGGCGGGCTTCTTGTAGACGTCGAAGAGGTTAAGCTTGATGCGCCGCTTCTGCTGCAGCCGCTGCTGCCGCTTGATGAACAGATCGAGGCGCTCGCGGATGAGCCGCTCGGGCAGGAGGAAGTGCTCGAAGGGCAGGTTCATCTGTGCAGAGAAGACAAAACACATATGGGCGACGTGTTTTCACACACGTGTCTCACTTGTTGACCTGTTCCGCTAGCAGGGCGGGGTCTTGTGCTGTCGCCCCTGTTGTGGCTTTTTTTCTCTTGGCAGCGAGGCCACCCTTGCCGTTCTGCCCCTTGGGTGTGGAGGGGGCCAGCTTGACCAGCCCGTGTTTCTCAAACAGGGCCCGGGCCACTGGGTCCGCCTTGGCGATCACGTAGGGCTCCAGCTTCCGCCAAACTCTGTAGTAGGCTTCGCGGCGGGCCAGCCGACGCACCTGCACACGCATGAGACCTGTCCATTGCCTTACATCCGAATGAACGGATCCCTCCTCTGTCACCTTGAGTGATCGAAATGCCCGCTGCACGGCGACAACGCTCTTGCGGAATGTGCGGATGAGATGCGGGACGGACACCTGAGGCACCGCCTGCAAAGAATGCCATGGCAATAGAGACACGCCATAATCACGTAGAGGGAGACATGGATGGAATTGTTGTGGGCAGAAAAGACCCACTGAACCACTCACGCGCATCTCGAGGAAGTGGATGATGACTTTTGCCGCGTGGAACATGTCCGCCATATAGAGGTGCCGTGTCATGACTACCAACGCCGCTCTGATCATCACACTGTGCTCCTGCACTGCCTTGACACGCACTCTTGTCAGGTGCCGCAGCCAGGCCCGCTGGATCCGCGACGCAGCGGCCATCATCACATCGTGTTTCCTCTCCGCCTCGAGGGCCAGCAGATAGGACGACTCGCAGCCGCCGGCGAAGGAAGCCAAAGCGAGAAATATCAGCCACTGGCGTGTGCGCTCTTCGCTCAGCTCTGCTTCCAGCTGCTGCCTCTCGAGCTCTTCTCTCTCCTCCCTACGGACGTCTCTCTTCCGGAGGAAGGCCTCGTGGTGGGCGAGGGTCGCTGCGGCGATCTCTGCTTTGGCACTAAGGGTGCGGTGGATGGAGTCGCATTTGAGCAAAGCGCGCTCGCGAAGACGCTCATACTGACACCAGGGAGACTGATCATATAAGATACATAAAGAGACATGCAAGAATGTGGGAAGCCTGGTGATGTCCTTACTGATGTGGCGGGTATTATCTCTTTGTTCAGGGCGACTAGGTCTTTTCCCCCCGAGTAGCCCATCAGCTCCTCCCTTCTTCGCCTGGTCAGCGTCTTGAGTTTCTCGTCGAACTTCTGCCGCTTGGTTGGGTTCCGTTTGAGGTCTTCAAGCTTGGCCTCCCACCCCCGGTGGATCCGCTGCAGCCGCTGCCTCAGCTCCTCCCGAGACATGACCACCTTCACCTTGCCGAAGGTGCACTTGATCTCGAATTTGGTGTCCACCAGTCCCTCCACGCCCACATAGAGCTCAGAAAATGGCGGGGCGACGTGTGTGGGACCGCCCCGGCCCCCGCGGGAGGCCTCCTCGCCTTCCAGTCCCTCATCGCCCTCCCCCTGTGGCGCGAGCATGGCGTGCTGGTAGACAAGGGTAAGAGCGGCCGAAGGGCTAGAGGGGTCTACTGCTTCGCTGGTGGCCACTGCGGGGTTGATCCATTTGCCCCGGAAGGTCGCTGTCTTGGTCGTTGGCCGCTCAGTCTCGAGCGAGCCGTAAAGGTTGATGAGAGGCGTGCTGGGCGAGCCTGTGGGGGGCGGGTTGGCGGGCGCTGTCGCAAGACCCTAGAAGAGAGAAAAGGAGGGGCTGAGCACCTCCAGAAGGTGTGCCCTTCCTCATCATGGGATCATCACCTGTGTTTTGCGAACGACCTCGACCTTGACGGAGACGGGCTTGTTTGGCAGATGGATCTTGTAGAACTTGTGCGCATTGGCGGTGATGTAGCCCAGCAGGCTCACGTCCTTCGGCAGAGTAATCAGCGAGCTGACTGTCCCGCCCAGTAGACCCGTGATAGTCGAGGCCAAGAGGTTGAACTCCTCTGCCGAGATGGCGGTCGATGCCGCGAGCGTCTCTTCATGGGGATGCGATGCCGTCAGTCGCTCGTCCGCGAGGCCGCTGAGCTTCTGCTTGCCCTCGAACGACTCGATTCGACGGTTGGCCAGCCGACTGAGGGCACTGACAGATGCAAATTCCGTTGGCTGCTCCGTCTTCTCAGTACTTGCGACAGTCTTGGTCTTGGATGCCTGCGCCCTTCCCCACCATTGCCGTGTCGTGACGAGGGCGGGCGGCAGGGTGCGTGTGGAGAGGGAGGGGTCGGTTGCGATGTGCTCATGGTCCTTGCCGGGCTGACGCTCAAATGAGGGGACGCCCGATGGCCACCCGGCTCTGCAAGCAGATGATTGAATTGATTGACCTCATCCATTCAAACAAGCGTCTCGTCATTTTGCGTCAGCTTGGTTCACCTTGCCGTGTGCCTGCCCCGTGTTGCCCTGGTGGCGCTATCGGGCGGCGTCTGCGAGGGAGGCAGAGCGAGAGTCAAGCTTAGTGTTTCGTGGATGGGCGGGGGCGTCGGCGTGCTGCTCTCAGGGCACTTTATTCCCATTCTGCCGGATAGCTTGACCCTGCGTGGCGCGGAAAGAACACACGGAGAAAGAATGCTACGCCATGCATTGCGGTGTAATGCTCGTTCCGCTAATACACAGACGTACCTGCTGTATATGCCTTCTCGGCCGGTTCTGTGCTGTGGTGCTGTCTCTTTCGATGCATCTTCATCTTGTCGGGGAACTGCTGAAGCTGCCCGCCGACCGGGGCTGCTTGCGGACGAGTCTTTGACAAGGGATCTCCTTGGGTTTGTGTGGACCGCAGAGCCTCTCGTGCTTGGCGACGACATGCTTGCGAGACGGGAAACGAGGTGGGGGCGTGGAGGGGGCCCGGGGGAGCTCGCCGTCGAATGCGCAGCGTTGGTGTTGTGTGGGTATCCTTGGTCATCATGGACGTCTTTGACGACCACGAAGACGACGAGCTTCCTCTTCCACCGCTCAGAAGCCCAGAGGAATGCGACGCGTATATGAAGTATGATCAGGCTCAGCGAATACAACGCTGCACAGAAGGCACACACGTCAGTCTGTGTGTGTGGATTCAATGCGTTCATTCGTGCAGGAAGACGTCCACGGGGCTGTTCAGCCTCACCTGGTTCGCATCGCCTCTTTTTTTCTGGAAGCGCCCAGGTAAGCTGGAGGGGTAATATATGAACACGAGAGGGTATGGTGACACGCTCGATGTCTCTTTCTCTCCACAGACACACTCAAGCGGGAGAGCGTTTTGGGTGAGAGATACAAGAACATACATACAAACGAATTACGTACTTGCACGCAACGCACCATGTTTGGCCTTCGCCTGTCTCGTCCTGTCTGTCTGCATCTGCAGGGGGCCAGCACGACATTGCCAATGCGCTCCCAGCAGCAAAATCCGGCGTGCCACCAAGATGGTCACAGACCGACGCCGACGTTCTCCTCAAAAACTCAAAGCTCATCGATGTCGCCACACTCAACAACTATGCCGCCTGGCTTTTCATGTAAGAAGAAAGAGATACACCTGCTCGCCGCGCTAAGCTGCATGTGGAACTGATATCTTTACAGGGTGGTTGTGGTCTTAATCGGCTGTCTCAGAGCTTCGGCAGAGCAATGGGTAGAGGCGGACACCCCCATATTGCTGCATCTGCATATTCGACGGTCTCTTGGTGTACATATGTGTGCCTACGTGTGCAGATGCAGGAAGTGCCTGGCTTTCTGGACGAGCGGGGTCTCCAGCGGTATTCGAGCACGCAGGAGTACATCGACGTGTCAATCAGACGCGCCGAGGTCAAGCAGCATGTGAACACCCCCTCCATCATCATGGGCGCGGTCTGGCTGCTGCTGCCTTTCTCCGCGACCATCATCATACTCAACCACTTATTCGGATACCGACGCACAATCGACGTAAGCAAGCAAGCCGGTGAGTGACATATCCGCTGCTCTCCGTTGTTTGTTTGTTTGTTTGTTTGTCAATCAGCATTGGAACTTCAAGAGGTGGAAGGACAGGGCGCGCGAAGTGAAGAGGCAGCTGCGGCTGAACCCTCCACGCGTCCGCAGGGGCACAGTGATGATCATGGATATGTCCCAGGGCAGTATCAAGTTCGATTGGATGACTCAATTCAACTTCTTTGTCCGTCGGATTCGCCGCTGCCTCGAAGACATGTCCTTCAGCTTCGGTATCGCCGGCAGATTCTTCTGGTGCCCATACGTTTTTGTCGAGGTGATGAGAAGAGGCGAAAGGACGTGACGGGTGACGAATTGACGCGTCCGACTGTCAGGCTTTGACGATGGCCTTCCAGTCGTTTCGGTGTCTGCGGCTGGCTGGCTATGATTTGGTTCAGTGGGACGAGGTGCCAGCGGAATTCTTCTCGGTGCACTTTGCCCTGGCGGCGCTCATCGCTTTGCATTCTTCGGTGGTCATTATCAACTGCCTAGTTGGGCGGAGAGGGTCAGTCAAAAGCGACAAATCATAAATGAATGCAGTGCGTGCGCCTTTGCCTGTGCATGCATGTGCAGGCTGGCCATCATCCTGTCTCTGGTGCTTTCGCTCCTCTACACAGTGCACTCTGTCTTCCTGCGCACCGACCTCATGTCGCACGACACTCCGTTGCTGGCCATCCTGGCAGCAATGCGCTCCAACCAAGAGCTCGACTTCTGTGCCGAGTACCTGCCGCTCATGTCGGCGCTGTACTCTCTGCGGACAGTGGATGCGCTGCTGCTGCTCAAGAGCTACAAGGACTGGACAAAGGCCAAGGCAGGGGGAAAGCTGGGTGGAAAGCACGGCGCGATGACCAAGTCCCTCTCGAAGCTGGGTGACTCTGAGGAAAGCTCAGAGCCACAGGAGAGCCCCAAAGAGAGCCCGAAGGCTGACACGGGCTGCCGGCAAAAGTTCAGGAGGTCCTCATCGACACTCTCACAGCTAGTCGACCCTCAGGTGAGAGTGAGTGAGGCACGAATGGATGATCTATGTGTCTCCGTCACTTTCCCACCTTTCAGCGCCTCAAAAAGCAATGGACTGGCGTGTTCCATATAGATGAAGTGCTGGAAGACGAAATCCAGGAGCCGACGTCATGGAGCTTGCGACGCGACAGCGGCCGCGCGTCCGTAGCCTCCAGCAGGAGGACCAGCGACGGCCTCAAAAGAAGATTCGAAGTGCCAGTCACCATCAGAGTACATATGCAATGCATTGCCGCCAGCAGAAGAATCGTCGTTCATGTTTGTCTCATGCGCAGGCTCTGACTGGGCTGGATGACCCCGGCCGAGAGCACGTCGATGCCTCCCCATTCTCCTCCCCGATCACTGCAGCCCCCCCTACCCGAAACCTCTTTCCCCCCCAAGTGACTGTCCGTGGAGGCCAGTCCGTCCACCCCGGTCCCCTCACCCCCGTCCCAGAAGACAGCGCGACAAAGGGCGGATTCCCCGCGGAAAGCAGGCGAATATCGTCAGCGTCGAGAACTTCCGTCTCGTCCCCGTCCGGGCCCGTGGCAGCCTTTGGCGCCGAGCAATTGTGGGACATCAGTCTGCGCACCAGCGAGGCCGATTACGAGGCGGGCAGCATCCCGGACGAGCTCTCGACTGACTCTCAGTACGCTTGCCGATATCTGTGTATCCGTGGCGAAGAGACCGTAGGCCGGATCTGTGTATCCATGACTGCAGAGGCACGTCCCCCTCATCACAACGGGATGCGTTGGAGGAGATCGGCTCCCCCAGGCGGCGGATAACGGCCGTCAGTATCATGACAGAGGAACAGGTCGCATCAGAAGCGTCATCAATGGATCAAGCCTCGTACAGGCGTCGGTCGGCGGAGTTTGAGCAGGATGAACCGTCGGCGGCACCACAGACGGGGGAAGCCGAGAAAGTAGTGGAGGCCTCAGCGCGCAGAGCGTCGCGGCGTGTCTCGCTGCTAGCGGAAGCAGAGGACAGGGACCCAGAACCCAAAGACGCTGCGGCCGGGGAGTCGACCAGCAGGACGCTCGACACGCGCAAGACGTACAGGGAGAGCCAGCTGGGCGTCATGGGCTTCAGCCTGTCGCGTGCGTCGTCTCTCAGCCACAGTAGCAGCGCCAGCGAATGGCGCAGGACGGACCTGACGATGGCACGGACGATATCGATTGCCTGGGGAGTGATGATGTTCTTCTCGGCAGCCATCCAACTCATACAGCGCCTACGTGGCGATTTCATCTGCCCTCACCTCCCTGGATGGCGGCTGTGTATGCTCAAGGTGACTGACAAACGGACAGGGAGACATCAGTGGTGAGGAGCTCCTCTCTCTGTGTCTGTCCAGGTGTATCCTCCGTATGGCCGCCGAAATGGCAAGAGCATTCAGGGCATCTGGTCCCCATGCAACTGCAGGTGAGCACCACACTGAGGACTAGGATTTCTCCACTCTTCGTCCTCCATGCGTGTAGATATATCAACATGGACACGATGGATAGCGAAGACGATGTGAAGGCCTTCGAGTCGTCAGCAAGTGATTTCTCCACTCTCCAGGTGCGCTCGCTCAGTCGATTGTCAACTCTCGTCCGCTGCTGGATTGATCGACGGATGGTTGGATCGATTTGTACAGGGGATCGCCTTCCTGCCGTCGGGGCTGCAGCCAGAGGGGCTCCAGATCGACCGTCTTGAGATCTCACACCAGAGACACCTGGACTTCCTTCTCGTCGGATTCGGTGAGACAGGCAGGCCGCAGGCATGTTGTTGCGTCTTCGGTCATGCTGACGGCTGGCTGTGCATACAGGTCGCATGACCGAACACGCAATCCCACGGGACCTGAGCAAGCTGACTCGGCTGCAGTACATCGAGTTCCCGGCAAATGCCTTCGAGGAATTCCCCGCCGGTCTCCTGAAAGCGTCAGATCTGAAAGTTATCGACTTCAGGCTCAACAGCATTGCGACGATCCCGACCAACATCCACGACAAACTGCCGACGTTGACGTACCTGTATCTGCCTGCCAACCCCGTGTGCTCGTCGAATTTTCTGACGGACCCGTCGCACTCGCGGGACTTCCTTGACGCGATGGAGCGCCTCGACCCGTGCTTGAGGCGGGGCGGCGACCACACGAGGGTTGGACACAGGTGTCTCGATGATTGCCTCACTGTCTACGCAATCTGCACGAAGCTGGACACTAACAATGACTGGAGGGTAAGCAAGATCATGTCAAATCCGAGAAGTGGTGGGTGTATCAATCGGCTGTGTGTCTCATCCAGTTCTGCTGGGAGGAGCTTCAGGCTGCGGGGCTCAGTAAGGACAGGCAGACAGAGCATGGGATGGATCCCAAGGCCAGCACATGCTGTGCATGCATTCAACACCTTTAATCTCTCTCCCTGTGTGTGTGTGTGTGTGTGTGTGTGTGTACATATGTCATTCATGCAGTCACTTACGAGACGTACGTCGGCATATTGCGTGACTTCCAGCCGGGTTCGATTCGCGAGGAGCCGGACGGCTCGGTGACGATCTTTGAGTGCCCCTCCTGGCGCACACTGGCCATCTACGCGACAAGCGGCGACAGCGACTGTTTCGACTGCGTCTCTCTGGGCCACATCGACCCCCTCGCATACGATGCACCTAATCAACTTCCCACGAGCCAATGATCGGACATGAGGGGGAAGGGACAGCGTCAGGGCTCGCTTCTCTCTCTAGGCGGTGTGGTGGCAGCTTACGTAGTGGCAGAAGATGGGACGGGACGTCGGATGGTCAGCCTATTGCTTAGTCTCAGTCAGTGTGTCTTGGGACGTGTGTGGATCAGAGCAGAGGGCTTCCTTCATGTATGTGTAATGACATGACATGTCATGTGTGGCACTTACTCTCACACCTGATTGTACACTAATCGACGCTTGCAAATCCACCCTATGAAGTCCCGACTCTGCGCACACGGATAGAAGAACCTACCGCTGCAGCACGTCTTTGTCTTCATGCTGCCTGTCTGTGTGTGTGTGCCAGGGCACATGTTCCTCGATTGAGCGTCAAAGACCATCCCAGTAAGGGGCACGGCATACAATGCGCTTCTCTGTGTGTGTCTCTCTCTCTGTTGTGTGGTGTGTGTATTGTGTCTTCGTTCCACACCCCCACTCCCCCACCAACCAGCCATCGGAGTGTCGCCTCAGATTCTAGTGTCGCCTCGTCACCTCGTCGGTGTGTCTCTGTCTCGCTGCCTGCCTGCGTTCAGTGCACTGTGTGACTAGCGGAGGCAGCTGACACGAATGTGTGCAGGGAGATGTTTTCCACTTTCTGGCGATGCATGGTCAGCGATGGCTAGCGATCATATAGCCTCTGACACCTTCGATGCAATTGAGCGGTGCATACACCTATAGGGTGTCGTTAACATATACATGGGTGGTTGATTGATTGACCAGCGTATGTGTGCACGACCATTGACACGTCAATCATCAAGTGACACAAATAGCACACCAGCGTGAGTCCGCACCGCACGATCGAACAGGCAACATTTACTTGAGGAGAGAGAGGCCATGGGTGCATGGCATGGATGTGCGTATGCACATTATACAAGTGTGTGTGTGCAGACATACAAATAAGTATAGAAGACATACAGAGATCGACAGACAGACAAGGCAGCAGAGATGGATGGACCACAGGCGCATGTGAATCTCACCCCACCCACCTCATGCGGCAACCATCACACACAACACCACCGAGACGCCACATGTACCCGCACAGCCTCAGCAAGGAGGACTGGACCGCATCGCCACACTGTCCATTCGCATGGCAATGAGAGCGGTCAGCAAAACGCCTCGGCGACCGACTGCGATGCATGGGGTCACACAAAGACAATATGGAGTCAGGACCACACACAGAGAGAGAGGAAGGTAAGCCCACCCACCAGCCACCCACACACATCAATCAACCGCCGTACACCCACAAGGAGGCAAAAATGACCGACTGCATGGGAACAGCCGGTAAGTCTATGTCTGTCTGTTGTGATGTGTGCATGTGGATGGGCAACGGGTGTGAAACATACCGCCGTGTCTGTATGTGTGGATGCGTGTGTAGAGCAACGAATTCGCCACTGTGGACACAGACACAGAGAGAGAGGGAGAGAGACAGGGGAGAGAGGTCAGTGATCAGCCACAACGTGCAGCAAAGACCAACAGACCACCGACCGCCCAGCCGTTCGGTGCATTCAGTCGGTCAGTCAGGCAGATGTCTGCTCCAGCGTGAGTCCGCACCGCACGATCAAACAGGCAACATACTTAATGAGAGAGAGGCCATGGGTGCATGGCATGGATGTGCGGATGTACATTATACAGGTATGCACATGTATACTTGATGTATGTGTATAAGGGTGTGTACAGAAGACATACAAATGTGTACAGACATACAAAGAGAGAGAGAGGGGGATGGGGAGCCGACGCGAGGGGAGGAAGCAGACATGGATCAAGGGCACATGCATCCCACCCACCCCATACAGCATCCGCACTGCATCACAGCATGAGTAAGATCTAGAAGGATTGGAGCACATCGCTCCAGTACGTACGTATGCATTGCATGCATATCACAGCATACAGCAGAAAGGCGCCTCGTATGGAGGCCTCCAGGGACCGCACACGACACGAAATCAGTAAGCACATGTAGACAGACACACAGAAAGTAAGCCCTCCCGCCCGCCCACCAACCCACCCACGAAGCAGGCAAAAACTGATCATGACTGACTGCACAAGGGCAGTCTGTCTGTCTGTCTGTCCGGTGCGATGATATGTGTGTGGGTGGGCAACGAGTGTGAAACGAAGTACACATTGTACCGCCACAGTGTGTGTGTTTACGTATGTGTGCAGGCAGCAACAAATTCGTCACGGAGGGATGCGTGGATGGGTGAACACACATGGTGGGTGATCGGTTGGTCTGCCTCTCTCTCTGTGCTGATACATGTCTGTCCACACCCCCGCTGCCCTCATCATCATCATCATCATCTTCATCGTTCTCGAAGTCGTCCTCCACATCGTCCTCCATATCATCGCCATCGCCATCGAAATCTGCATCACACATAGGAGGATAGAGAAGGGCGTCAACCAGCCACCTAGTGCGTGCCTCCCTGCTCGTGTCAGTCGTGTTTGATGCAGTCATACCTCAGCTGTCTATCGGTCGAAGAACATGGCTGAGATGACGGTCCCCAGCACCGCCCGCGCCAGCCGAGTGGTCTGCGGGAAGCGGTCCTTGAAGGCGCCACCCACACCACACACAGCCGACTCGCTGCAGATCCATGATGGTGATCCACGCGACGAATGAGTGGCTGGTGTCCGTCAGGACGAGACGGCCACAAAAGCCGTCAAAAGTTGAGCGTGATGCAGTGGTGGTGCATCCCGCCACTCGTGTGTGGGAGGACTGCGTCAGCAGGTTGAGCAGCCGGTTGTTGGCGACATGCCTGACACACACATATTATACAGAAATAACACTCGCGTGACGTGGCAATGCCCTCTCAAAGTGATGCCCCGCCTGACCTGTCGATGAAAGTGTGAGTGGAGTTGATCTGGTGAGTGCCAAAGAAGTGCCGGAGGACGATGCTCTTGACACACAAGGACACGGACGAGGAACTCTAAGTTTCCCCAGTCATCGACCGCCAGCCCAGGAACCGATCATAGTCGATGCTGCTGCGGACGGGCGGGTCATGCTGCTGTCGGTGCTGCTGGTAGGGGTGGTTGAGAGGGAGGGGCGGGTCGATATCGAGCTCGAAGCCGTCCTCGTCCTTGATGGCCCGCAGTGTGTCGCCGTGTTGGAACAGCTGGAAGGTTACGCCGTTGCCGAAGTCGATGTGGGGGCCGACCATCTTAAGCTGAGCCAACACACGGGGAGCGGCCAAATACGCCTGCACACATAGCACATCACACACAGAGAGAGAAGAATGAACAAGACCCTCTCTCTCCCCTCCCGCCCCTGTGTATGCGTCTCACCGTTTTGTTGGCGTGTCTGTTGATGTCGTCAGCAGTCAGCCGCACCGGCAGGGTGCACCGGCCGCACTGCTCCGCCAGCCGCAGTACGTCGGCGACCTCGTCCCACCTCTGCTCCTCCACCATCCAGATGGCCGGCAGCACCACACGTGGCTCAGACACCGTCTGGGCGTCGAAGACCAGCACGGTGTCGAGCCGTGACCCGTCGGCGAGCCGTTTGCTGTGCAGCGAGTGGGTGAGTCGTTTGCGGAGTGCATCGGGAGGGAAGTCGACGATGCTGTGCTGGCGGGTTGCCACTCTGAGGCTGCCGACGTCTTTGATCTTGAGCAGCCAAACTCGCGAGTGGCGGAAGATGCAGGGGACCGCCTCGCCGTTGACGACCGGCGAGTCCGTGTCGCTGCTCCTGCTGCTGATGGCTGACATGACACGGAAGCTGCAGTGACTCAGACCTGCACACAGACAGACAAGGAAGGACGCCAAACACACACAGCCGCTGTGAATGATGTGTGTGAATGAATCGCTTTGCTTGTGGAAGGCAGCCGACCTAGCGATCTGACGCAATGAAGCGGAGCGACCGACACACACTGCGCGCCAACTTCGCTTAGGGCACAGGTCAAACACAACTAACGCTGACAAGGCTTTTTCCCATTGCAGGAGCGTCCGGGGGCAGCTGGCATGTTCATTTGGACCCTACTGATGCGCCGTATGTGTATCTGGTGTGTATGCGTAAGACAGCGCACACTCACGAACCGAATCCAATACATATCAATGCGCACTAACGTCGACGTGAGGCAAAGCAGCAGAGATGGACCGATCGAGGGCACGTGCGTTCATTCATTCCAGACAGACCGAGCGCATCAAAGAATGAGTCCGCACAGCTGCAAGACAGTCATTACCGTAGCTCGCAAATCACGATGTGAGGAGAATTTCTCCTCACGTTGTCTGTGGTGGGCTCCGCAAGCGCCACCATCACGC